TTTTATTTTAAGTGCTCATTATCAGATGTAGTAATGGATAGATGGATGGATGGATGGATGCCCTTGAATGTCCTTTGCACGGATTATTGTTGAACGGCAGGGATGACAAAAACAGAAAGCCATGTGATTTCTTGTTTGCCTGTCTGTAGATGAAACCATGTCTGACTTCAGTCTGAGCTCAGTGTTACATTATTGATGAGAGAGACTGAGACAGAATGGTTTGCAGTGAGGAAATGATGAAAGGGATTCAGGCAGAAAAGTGTCTTGCATTTGTTATTAGACATCTGGAGAAGTAGAAAGCAAAAGTAGGCATCTGTCATGTGATTTCACCTTTAATCCTAAAAAAGGACAAGGTTTCAGCATATGTCAAATCAAGAAGAATTCCACGCTGACAGATGTGGTACTAGTGAAAATGAGTAGCGAAAGAACGAGGCAGAGATGGGATCTTTTCAGATCCCAACCTATTGATCAGAAACTCTCACACCTCATAGTTCCAACTGTCACTGATTGGCTAAAGGGCTCCTGACAGTTATCTACATGTTTGGACTCCACTGTCATGTTACGGCCTTTGAACACAGCTATGTATATTTATAAGGTTTATATAACTATTAGAATACTTAGGACAGCACTGAAAGATTAAAAAAAATACTACAGTTAAATATTCTTGTTGCTTTTTTCCTTCAAGTGTTAAACCTAATGGTTGACTTTAGCTAAATGTTAACACAAGCATCTTGGTGATGTAGGTTTTTCTTTTGTTTTTGTTTGAATTTATCTTGTGTTGTGAATTCACCCTCATTAGGCCTCTCCTTGTTATGAGAGCAGTTAAGTACGTCTGCTTGTTTTTTGTAGATAAAATGCAGTGGTTCCACTGCTCTGCAATGCCCCTTAGAAAAATTGAAAGTAATTAAACTTAGTAATCCACTTATGCATAATGTTTAAAATTGTGTTTATGTTAGCTGTTCTAATGAGTGTGCCTGTAGAAAAGTCACAAAGTCAGTTAGAAATGCTAAGGGTGTTATAATGGTATAATTTTTTACAAGGTTCTGTTCCCAATTAAAAATAGTTCCTGTTGTCTTCATTCTGTCCGTGAAATTGTAAATGAACCTTGCTAGCGACTTGTTAAATGTATTTTAGGTTTATACTTGTTTTCTTGATTAAACACAAAGTTCAAAAGCCTGAATCTTCTCTAAAATAACAAACCTCCGTCTTTAAATCATATAAAACGTTTGGTCTGACCTCAAAAAAGTCACACTTCTTTGAGGTGACTTTTGAAGCAGGGTCAACGTTGATTGCATTATCTGTGTATAATTAAAACCAACACTTAACCCAGGACTGTGAAATGAAAATAAAGGGGTTGCCTTACCGTAAAAAAGGTTGACCTCCCGTCTTCAGCACCTGCTGGTTTCAAACTGGCTGATTTCTCCCTTTTACACCAGGGTGAATCTCATTACATGCCAATTACACAGGCATAATCACATCTGTATAAATCAGTTGATGATATTCTTAAATGAACTGCTGCCTACAGATACTGTACAATCACCAGATGGCTGTGGAGGCTGCGCCAACATACAACCAACGGCTTAAACATGTCTGACCCTGACAGTTTGTGTGTGTTGTATTGCAGTAGGTTGTTTATCATTGAACTAGTGTGCCAGATCATAATAATGTAACTCTGTACAAACCACAGGCCCAGTTTACAGGTACATTTACTAGAATAGCTAAATTCTAAATTCTAAGATCAAATGGAAATGGGAATTAAATAAATATAATAAGTTTTATTGGGCTAAATATATATATATATCTATATATATCTTTATATATAGATATATATTATTTTAATATATTGTTCCTCCCTGGGCGGAAACTTGACGTACATTGGTATGAAAAAGTTTGGGCACCTCTGATCATTTTCAAGATTTTTCTTTATGGATCATTGCTTGTTCGGAACAGCAATTTCAATTAAATATATCATAAAGCAAACAAACACATGATATAATTAAGAATTAAGAAGTGAAATGAAGTTTATAGGATTTACAGAAAGTGTGCAATAATTACTTAACCAAAAGTAGGCAGGTGCATAAATTTGGGCACCCCAACAGAAAAATTACATCGTATTTAGTAGATCCTCCTTTTGCAGAAATAACAGTGTCTAAATGCTTCCTATAGCTTCCAATGAGAG